ATATATATATATATATATATATATATATATGTATAGGGAGAAAGATATACTGCCTGTAACATTGTTCAGCATGACCGGTTTGGTGGTGGGTCAGTGATGGTCTGGGGAGGCATATCCATGGAGGGACGCACAGACCTCTACAGGCTAGACAACAGCACCTTGAGTGTCATTAGGTATCTGGATGAAATCCTTGGACCCATTGTCAGACCCAATGCTGGTGTAGTGGGTCCTGGGTTCCTCCTGGTGCACGACGATGCCCGGCTTCATGTGGTGAGAGTATGCAGGCAGTTCCTGGAGGATGACGAAGTTGATACCATTGACTGGCCCCCACGCTCGCCTGACCTAAATCCAATAGAAGACATCTGGGACATCCGACACCAACAGGTTGCACCTCAGACTGTGCAGGAGCTCAGTGATGCCCTGGTCCAGATCTAGGAGGAGATCCCCCAGGACGCCATCCGTCGTCTCATTAGGAGCAGCCCCCGACGTTGTCAGGCATGCATACAGGCACTTGGGGGCCATACAGACTACTGAGTACAATTTTGAGTTGCTGCAGTGAAATTTTGGCAAAATGGACTTTTTTTTCACTTTGATTTTCGGGGTGTCTTTGAATTCAGCCCTCTGTAGGTTGATAATTTTCATTCCCATCAAACGATGTGGCATCCTTTCATTCCTAACACATCACCCAGTCCATATCAGTGTAGATTTCTAGCATGATTTTTTCCCCATTGAGATCTGATGTGTTTTCAAAGTGTTCCTTTATTTTTTTTGAACACTGTATATGAAGATATACAGTACATTCTGTGGATGAACGATGATGAAAACCAACTAAACAAAATCTAATTCAAGCCAAGTTTCAATTGAAACTTGCTACCTGCTGAGCCGCAATGTAGTATCCTAATGTACTAGTTATTAAAGCAAGATACAGCTTCATGTCAAAACTTACCATGCAAAGTCCGGTGGAGAAACTGATGCTGAAAGTCAGCACCAGCAGTAAGCAGCTCATTGCAGGCAGCTCTGCGATGCTTCAGTGCATTGATGGGGAAACTGTGGGATATCAGTTATTTGCCAAGCTAATAAATAGGGTCATAAGCAAACTATATTTGAGCAATATGGAAATTTCCTTGAACCTGTGCACTGTGCTATTTTGAGGAACTTAAATGCAGTATCAAGATCGTATGAGATGTGGTTCCTGTTTCACAACCACCACAGATGGTATCAGAGATCATGTCAGAGATAGACCATGCAAATGCCATAGAATTTATCATTAAGCCATGCTTTACACGCAGTGCTTGAATCGCTGCTATAGCTGGAAAATATCTCACAAAATCCCATCGTACTGGACGTTCAAGTGATCACCTTTAAGACTTGCAGAACACATACGTTGTCTGAATAATTGTTTCTCTGTATAAACGCTTTTAAAAGCAGGATGTCAGACACACTCATTCATTTCACTGGTACAGCGATAAAGTTCACCAGAGCTGAGACCTAGTTTAGAAGTAAAATTGGCCATGGCCCAGTGTCATGGCCAAACACTGCGTCAGTTCTTCCTTGAAACCACTTGGTATTGTTGGTGTTTTTGAACTTTGCAGGTGGAAATGCTCCACTGAGATAGTTAGTCAGCGATTTACAGTCTTACAAGGGTCATTGCATGGGGCTACATTATATAGTGTATAGGTTACTGTGTGATTTTAATTTTTTTATTCATATCTACTCATCTATGTGCAATTTTTCTTGGCTTCAGGAGATATATGTTCTTGTATTTCCTCTTTCAGTTATATTATATTACAGTGCATATTTCTGGTTTTGTAAAGCAACCTTGAATTTCTGCAAGCTCCATCCATCCATTTTCTGTAACCACTTGTCCTATTTATGGTCGCAGGAGGCCTGGACCCTATCCTGGAGACCGCAGGTACAAGGCAGGAAAGAACCCAGGATAGAATGGACCCCATTGCAGGGCAGACTCACACACCAGTCACTCACACCAGTGGTCAATTTGGTACCTCCGATTAGCATAAGAATGTTTTTCGACTGTGGGGGGAAACCGGAGTACCCAGGGGAAACCCCACAACAGCACAGGGAGAACATGCAAACTCCACATACATCAGTAAATATTGCCAATCAATCCACTAGCACCAACCCCCCTCCACAACAAACCCAGCCTTGGCTACCCCAATCAAAATTTTCTGCAGGCACCACTGTTGATCAGAGACGAGATAACCCTTATCTAGGACCTGCTCATTCAGCTAACTTGATTATTTCACTGCCAATGAACTGTAAGTATGCAAATGGCCTTTTCCTGACTGTGACATATCTCACTGTCACGTCTCAGTGAGCTCTGCTGTTAAACTACAAAAAAATGGTTGATGATGCGTTTTCAATTAAGGACCAAAATGGCATTAACATCCACCCATTTCTTCCATCTATCATTTATAGGAAATGACTGCATGCTGTTATAGTGTTGCAAAGGTTTGCAACTTACTTTCAGTTTCTTAATTTAT